CTGCTTCAACTGGCGTCATAGCTGATGCATTTATAAACTCAAATAGAGTTGGATTTAAGAGTTCTCTTTTAACTATATATATATAACATCTGTGTAAGCATTTAAAAGTGAATAGAACTGCTATTCCCAGCTTATTTTCTCTGAGTTTCATAAGAAAACTGACTTTATTGCAGTACACAAAGAGCAATTTTTGAGAGTGTGCTAACATGAATGCTCTTAGTTACTTTCTACTACTATCTACTACTATCTACTACTATCTATCCTCCTCTTTCTTACATTTCAGCAATTCGAATGCCTTAAGATTAAATATTCATCAATTTTTGCTCATGACTCATGCATACATCAATCCCATGTCTGCTAGGCCCTACATATTGAGGGCAAAATACTATATTTAATGCTCATACGCAATATGATTAATTATGATAGTTTTATAGCTTAAATAAACGTGCCGCCGGCATTGCGAACAGTTAGATAAACAATCGGGCCGACTGATAGACAGTCTGACAGCCAGACAGGGTCATATTTGAATGCAATAATTACAATTTGTATATATTTCTCTTTATATTTTTTTTATTGTTTTATTATGCATTTTTTATTATTCATTATCAATGGGCTGACTGGCTGGCTGGCTGGCTGGTTGGCTGGGTTCGGTTGGGTCTTTACGGTCGGGTCGTTCGGGGTCTATTGAAAGTGAGTTAAATCAACTGTCGCGACATGCTTAAGCCTTAAGCAATCAGTGAATGGCGCATGTACACATGCACACGAGTCTCAGCTGCTGCGCTGCAATTAGCTTTGGCTAATCAACGGGAGAGAGTGCAACAGTGTGCGATTGTGTGTCTCTGTGTGTGTGCGTATGCGTCTACGTTTTATTGCGCCCAGCTGAGTCAGTTTGCACGCTCAGCTATGCAGTCAGTCAGTCAGTTACTCAATCGATTCGCTGGCCGATGAACTGCGCCGGCCCCAATGGATTTCTGATTGCAGTCGCTGTGTGTGTGCGTGTGTGTGTGATTGTATTGGTGTGTCTGCTTGTCTGGTTTGGTTCTGCTCTGTGCATGCCAGCTAAAGCGCACGTGTCCCATTCATCAAGCAGGCAGCTGGCCGCCATGGCGCGTGTCTTGGCCCATTTGAATGGCTTCGAGCATAGTCCAAAGTCAATTGCAACTGCACTTGGCACATAGGCACACGGCCAAGCAAACCCACAGTCGAACCTGAACCCTGAAGCCAATTCCAATCTCCAATTGGCGTTGTCCATTTCGCCTCACGCTCGTCTTATCGCCATCGATCGTTGCCCCAAAACGCACGCGCGTTGAGCTTTCGATGCGCGTTCATTGAACGCACTTTTCGGTTTCATTTTGTTGACTCGTTTGCTTATACTCTACCGTAAGGTATTTGGGCTATGCAGGAGAACTTATTATTTGGTTGAATTGTATGTATTTTTGGGAAATTATTTGTATAACTAAAAACCAAGGAATCAAAAATAAATGGTTAAAAAAAAAATAAACTCATGATGATATATTAATGCGGAAGTTCTGAACGAGTCTAGTTACCTATTATCTACTATACAAATAAGCAGTTAAACAGTATTCCTTATCATGCACAATTTAAATGGCAATTTTCATTCATAATCTCTTGATTTTTGATAATTCTACAATTATGTCATTTAAATTCCGTATAAATATGAATCGAATAATGAAGCTTGAATAGTTTGCATTGCTTTTGAGCGGGCTTATAGAGCCAGGGCAATTTAAAGCTACGCTTCATATGCGATTTCCCAGCATGTTCAAATGGTTCGTTTTGTGCTCAGCCGTGACCTTTCTGATGGTGAGTGAACTGTGCCAAATCCTTCTGTATTTAACCCCACTCTAAGACTCCATCACGCTCTGCAGTGCTCGGCTCATGTGGCATTCACAAACCTGAAATGTAACTTCACCGATAAGAGTTTTGGGGACTTTAAGTATTGCTACATCAAGGCGGTCAATCGTACCCACAAATACATCAGCATCTATGCGAAAATGGCTCCACAATCCATTAATAATGTTACGGTAAGCGGCATGCCGAGTGTCGAGAATGTAGATCTGCTCTAGATGTGTCAACTTCTCTCAAAAACAGATAAACATCAGGGCCTTCCGCAACAGCAATGGCTATAAGCCCTTTGGTGTGATCACCACCTTTGATGCGTGTCAATTTCTCAGAAAGCCGAAAAATCCGCTTTTGCTCACGTATTATAATACCTTCAAAGATCACTCCAATCTCAATCACACCTGTCCCTATGATGTGAGTAGCTAAAGTTTGTCATTTCGATAGCTAATACTGATTACGAACTTCCATTCGCTTAGCATGACATTATCATCGACAGGCTCTATACTGGCAATCAGGATCTGGCGTTTTCTAGATATCTGCTCCTACCGCATGGCGAGTATGCCATCAAAATAACATTCTTTATCTACAATTCTGAGGCGTGCAAGATTCATGTTTATTTAAGATTATCTTGAAATAATTTTAACATTTAATACATATGGAATATTTGTGAGAAAATATATAAAAACAGTTAATGTTAACTGTCACAGATCTCACTACCCAAACGCTAAATTTATTGCGCAAATTTTCATAAATAAACTCTTGATTTATGATAAGTATGTTATTATAACGTTTAAATACCGTGTAAATACGAATAATTTACATTGATTTGGAATGGGCCTATAGAGCTAGAACTTCATATGCGACTTGCCAGCATGTTCAAATGGTTCGTTTTGTGCTCAGCCGTGACCTTTCTGATGGTGAGTGAACTGTGTCTCGTCCTTCTGTAAACCCACTCTAAAACTCCATTTCGCTCTGCAGTGCTCGGCTCATGTGACATTTACGAACTTGAAATGCAGCTTCACTGATAAGAGTTTTGGGGACTTTAAGTATTGCTACATCAAGGCCGTCAATCGTACTCACAAATACATCAGCATCTATGCGAAAATGGCTCCACAATCCATTAATAATGTTACGGTAAGCGGCATGCCGAGTGTCGAGAATGTAGATCTGCTCTAGATGTGTCAACTTCTCTCAAAAACAGATAAACATCAGGGCCTTCCGCAACAGCAATGGCTATAAGCCCTTTGGTGTGATCACCACCTTTGATGCGTGTCAATTTCTCAGAAAGCCGAAAAATCCGCTTTTGCTCACGTATTATAATACCTTCAAAGATCACTCCAATCTCAATCACACCTGTCCCTATGATGTGAGTAGCTAAAGTTTGTCATTTCGATAGCTAATACTGATTACGAACTTCCATTCGCTTAGCATGACATCATCATCGACAGGCTCTACACTGGCAATCAGGATCTGGGGTTTTCTAGATATCTGCTCCTACCGCATGGCGAGTATGCCATCAAAATAACATTCTTTATCTACAATTCTGAGGCGTGCAAGATTCATGTTTATTTAAGATTATCTTGAAATAATTT